AACAGGAAGACCAGGTCTGGAGACCCCTCAGGAGGTCTGAGAACAGGGGGACCAGGTCTGGAGACCCTTCAGGAGGTCTGAGAACAGGAAGACTAGGTCTGGAGACCCCTCAGGAGGTCTGAGAACAGTGGGACCGTGGGGCCCAACTCATCCATCAGTCTTCAAGGGAACTCCTTTAAAACTAAAACCTGGACCTAAAAGGGGCTCGGGGATCTGCAGGTTTTGACCCACCGTTGGCGACCGCTCAGGGAACCGAACCCGGTGAAGGAGCGGCTCCTGTGGACCGGACCTCCGTCAGACGGGGAGTCGAACCTCAGCTTCACCGACATCCTGCAGAACCAAAGAAGAGTAAAAAAAATAAAATGTTGATTTTTATTCATCTAAAACAAACACCGAACTTCGGCTCAGGGTCTGAAAATGAGCTTAAAGTCAGAAAAACAAACAAACAAAAATTCAGGTTTTATTTTGTAATCTCAGTACTTTCAGAATAAAGTCTCCTTCAGGTATTGTTTAAAGGCTGTGGATTCAAACAGATGCTCAGGTTTATTTCACAGTTTAAATCAGGCCGAACGGGTTCTGAGATGATCCAAACATGGGAAACAACAGCTCCATTCAAACATCTGGAAACATCTGCTGGAAATAAACTGGAAAACATCTGGTCGGACGGATGATGGAGTTCATTTTCAAACAAAACGTTTTCAGGACTGAAAGAGGACCAGAAATGGGACGTCTTCTGTCTGCAGGACACCTGTCCTCTGGTGGACGGGTTCGTTTGGACCTCAAAGGTTCTGGACGGGCTTTTCCTTCAAAGCTTTTTTAAACAACCTAAAGTCTTCAAACTTTCAGGATAAACCACGGATTACTCTGTGACCAAACAGAGTTACGAAACATTTAAATGTAAATTAACGAAATGCATCTTGAGCTTTTTCCATTCAGTCCTTGCAGTCGAGACCAGAACCTCAAGTCCGATCACGTCTGGTGCTTGAAAGAATTTGGGGATTTCCTGCGACCCAAACATCCGTCCCATGTGGTTCTGAAGCAGAGCTGCGGTGGATCGCAGCAAGATAAAAGCTCAAACCCAAGAGATTAAATTGATCAGAACCAGTGAAAGTTGCACAAGTTAAACGATCACAGAGCAGCAGGAGCAGATTCTCCTCTAACATCTGTGGAAATTAAAAACAATCTGGATTATTTAGGAGTGGTTTAAAAAAAATAATAAACAGCCGAGGCCGTTTCTAAAATTAAAAACTCTCCAGAGTTTAATGGACAAACAGAGAAAAACATGTTTGACTGTGGAGAGAAATAAAAATAAAGTGTTGAAGCCTTCGTGAGCTCAGAATATTTGAGGTTTGTCTTCAGTTTAAAGTGAAACACGAACGACGAGAGGAAGGAGCGTCATCGTTTCATCACTTGTGTTTTAACTTTTATTTAGTCGCCTCTGATCCGGTCTTCACGAGTAGCTCCTAAATCTCATTCTACATTCTGTAAGGACAATAAACATAACGTATTTTTCACATAAGGTGCACATTAAATCTTTTAATTTTCTCAACAATTGACAGCGAGACTTTACAAATAATCAGATGCGCCTCATGTATTAACGCCGGTGTGTTCACCGACCTCGAATCAGTTTCATGTGGTTATCATGAAGGAGTTGAATAAAGTTTGACTTATCCGTTTTGTTTCGCTTAATGCGCCTTATAATCCGGTGCACATCATGTATGAAGACGGACTCGTTCATGAGATTGCACTTTATAATCCGGTGCGCCTTATAATCCGAAAAATACGGTAATTAGATAAGAGACAGCTGGTGTTGAGGGACTTCCTGGTTAAACAAAAAAGGCTGAAAATGTTCAGGATCAGCTAAAACTGAGTTGAAAAGCAGCCAAAGTCTAAATAAAACCTTCAGAGACACTTTCAGAAAGTCTGCGGTCCAAACACGACGTCATCGTTTCATTTTTCTGCTCCTCACTTCAAACGCCGGCCGAACATTTCAGAATATCATCAGCTGCTGAATCAGCGCCGGCTGCAGCTGCAGGGACGACTTCAGCCGATTCGATAAAGAATATCGATCACTGGAACCACTGTCATCACAACGGGCCAACTCCAGCAGAAACTGACGAGTGTGACCGGAACAACTGCAACAACGTTTGTGGGGTGAAAAACGTGCACGTGTTTGGAGGCTGTCGAAGAAAACTGGAGCAACATGTGGTTTGAACGTTACCTCTGACCCGCCAGTGATTTACAAACGTGGAGGTTGAAGAGGTGTGTGTGTGAGATCGTACATGATGTTCCTGTGAGGTTCTGCTGCATGCCAACAGCTCAGAACCAACCAAACCAAACCCCCCCGCCCCGCAGGGTGCGGCGCGATCCAAACGTGGCCTCGGCTGCTTCATCAGCGTCGCTTCCCTTCAGCTCGGTCCAATCAGGTTCTGTTGAACGCTCAGACCCGAGCAGCTGACACCGTTCAGGGTTTAGAGCCGACCAAATGTTTCACCAAACATTCTCTGCATTTTTTGCTTCTTACTCATGCGTAAACATTTTTAATGAAATGTGATTGTCCCCCCCACTTTACAAAACGCTGAACTTCAAAGTCCTGCAGTTACAAACTTTTTCTGCAACGCTCGTTACTCGAACACACGGAGGGAATCTGCCCCACTCCGCTTCCCAAACTTCAGGTCGTCACAAACACGCCGGTGAAACGGCAACAGATTTTAAAAGTTTCACTTTGAGTGAAGAAGATTAAAAGTCTGGAGAACGTTCCTCCTCAGATGTTCTGCTGTGGAACTCGCTCCTCACTTCCTGAACGAGCTGCACAACAAAAACACCGTTCATCTCGTCAGATATAAAATGTTTAAACCTGCAGCTGCAGTCACGGACGGTTCAGACCTCAGTACACAACCCTGTGGGCTTCTTGCAATAAATCCTATAGTTAGGGTTGGCTCAGGTTTCCTGAACCATCCCATAGCTCTGCTGCTATCAGGCTGCCGTCTTTACTCGATCTGCTCTTCATGGACTCATGGAAACCTCCATCTGGACCACAGAACCTCCACCTGAACCACAGAAGCCACACCTGGACCACATAAGCCACACCTGGACCACAGAACCTCCACCTGGACCACAGAACCTCCACCTGGACCACAGAAGCCACACTTGGACCACAGAAGCCACACTTGGACCA